AGAAATAGTGGTAGAAGTCATTAAGTGCCTGCCATCTTAAAAAATCGGTTTAAAATGCTAGTAATATAATAATTTCAAAAAGATAAAAGGTTTCTCCCCCCTTCTCTCTACCAGCCCATCAGAGTTTGGAAGAGTAGCATGTGCTGGAGGTTGCAAAACAGGACTTCCATATTTGGCAAAACAGGACTTCCATATTTGGCAAAACACATACTTATTGGATGGATAAATATCTATGCTTATCTTAATACGTCTCTAAGCCTGAAATGAAACATTCAAAATGGAAGAGCAGGCATTTCAAATATATTTTCCATTTTAAGAGTCTGTTCCAACTTGGATTGTCTTTGTCTTTATTGTGTTTATAGGTATTTAGGGTATTTACCAGATGAAAACAAGCACTAGGGTATCACAAGCATATTTCCCTGAGCTCACTAAACTTGTATGAGTTCCTCATGATGAGCATTTTAAAACATCAAGCATTCCTAAGGAAACAGCTCTCCTCTCTTTGCTTTAGTAGCTCCCTCTTTTAACATCTTTGCCTTTCTGATCCTCTAGAATTCCCTCTATACATAAGAAGAGTTTTCTGATCTTATTTCCATGGCATTTCTCTATATTCAACTGGAGGGCTTCATTTGTGAATCTGAAGATATCAGAGCAGGTGTTTGGAGTTGCAGGTGTTTGGAGTTGCAGCTTACCTGGGAGTCAAGTTTGAAATCAATGCTGAAGTTAAATTCAAACGTAGACACTATTGAAAGAGTACATGCTCACTTTTGGAGTGCAGCTCTCTGTGGTCTTAACCAACGGTGAGTGTGTTCACTAGGACCATTGGTAAACCCTGGACTCCTATCTCTGATCCCTAGTTCTTTTAAGCTGTCAGAAACATTGCTCAGTATCTCAGTTACCCATTCTGGAGTAGACAAATGTCTTCAGAGGAAAAGTGGCCCCAAATGTTGGGTGCACCACACCAGACCTCTATCCTCATTCTGATCCAGGCCTGTGCTCTTAGTTCCTGCCAAATTCTTCACTATTATTTTATTTTATTTTAACTCTCCGTTAAAATTCAGAGTTCATCTGAATTATCTAGCCCAACATTCCTGAAAGTGGAAGTCCTCAGCATCAAGAAATAATTTCCGTAAAATTTATTTCTAAAAAAAGATGTAATCTTGGAAATAGGAAAAAATAGGCACAAAGCAAATGATTTAATCACATAATTTTTTCTGACAAAAATGGAGGAAAAGGTTAGTAAGATTTTGTCTTGTTTATCTAGAACTGTCCAAAAGGAAAAGGTTCAGGGAGTATAGACATAAACAATATGAGTTCAATTTTGCACATGTTAAGATTTGGTGTTCTTTACAGAATTCTCCTGCTAACAGGTGATCCCAGCCTTCGACATTTCACTAGTACTGTGAAGAAAAGGATAGCTGAGTCCTTCAAATTTTCATGGTAGGTGGGTTGAAGAAACCCTGCTCTCAACAAAGGGGGAAAAAAGTACTCCCCAAAAACTACTTAATGATTCAGAACACTTTCATTCAGATCCATGTAATCACATGCTTTAGTTTCCAGAATTAATTTAGGCTTTAATTAATATCACTTTGGTGAGAACTTGGTGATCTGTTTGATGTCTTAATCTGTCCTATCAATCCCACGCATCTGAATCCACCCCTAGCTGTGTTCTCTTTAAAGCAAGCTTCTGGTTCCCTAGCCCCTACTTGGAGAAAAAAACCTTCCCTTGGGTCACATTCAGAGCTCCATCATATAGTATCAATAACATAAATGTAGTAGGCACAAAGTGTTTCCCAAGGGTGGTTATAACTTATGTCCAAAGTGACCTAATTTTCCTTTGGAGACATATGGGAGAAGAAAGACATTGACAGGATGTGAATAAATATCATGGATTAGAATGAAGGTCCACAACTATTTTTGCAGAGTCCAACTTTATAAGGAGCTTAAAAGAAAAGATTGACCAATAACTGTGGCATATTTTGATTTTGAAGTGGGTCTGTATGTGTGTGTGTGTGTGTGTGTGTGTGTGTGTGTGTGTGTGTGTGTGTGTGTGTTGCCTCACTGGGGAGGTTGTATTGAGAAAGGAAATAGTAAACTAGCCTCTGATGGTCAAGGAGATGACTGCACCAAAACAGCATGCAAGGATGGAGGAGGAACAGGTGAGTCAGGTGAGCTGGACTGTAATTAAATTCCACAGAGTTAGGTCATCCAACAGTCATTTATATACAAAGAGCAATGACACACACTCCCCCTCAAATTATGACCTACATAACTGGGGAGCCTTATTCTTTCAGGTATTTCTGACTTTGGAAATCTTCACATTTTTGGTTTTTTAAAAATTATTTATTTATTATCTTCGTACTTCTTGGAGCTTCCATACCCATGGAAGTCCTCATTTTTTTGTAGTCCAAGCCTTCTTCCCAATTCTCTCGGAACCTTAGAGACTTGATACGTTTCCAAGCAAAAATAAAGCAAAGCAAAAACAAGATTGATTTCAGGGAAGACATTTAAAAACATGGAGAGTGGGAGGCCAGGAGCGATTCACACCTGTAATCCCAATACTTTGGAAGCCTAGGTAGGAGGATTGCTTGAGCCCAGGAGTTCAAGACCAGCCAAGGCAACATAGTAAGACCTTGTTTCTATGAAAAATTTTTAAAAATTAGCTGGGCATGCCTGTAGTCTCAGCCACCCAAGAGGCTGAGGTGGAAGGATCACCTGAGCCCAGGAGGTCAAGGCTGCAGTGAGCTGTGATTGTGCCACTACACTCCAGCCTGGGCAACAGAGTGAGGCTCTGTCCCTAAAAATATAAAAACTAAGAACCTGGAGAGTGGGAAACTCTAAGTTCAGGATGGTGATTTATTTTAGTTAAGATGTATGTGTGTTTGAGGGCACGAGTCAAGGCTTATATGTAACTTCAACTGTAATGATAGTGTTTTCTTGAACTGGGTGTTAGGCACAGTGGTGTTTGTTATGCCAAGGTATCTGAAATATTTCATAATTTTCAAAAAGAAAACAAGACAAAGATTATTTTGTCTGTGTCCCTACGTCTACCTGGGAAAAGATAGGGGCCCTTCCTCATTATCCTAATTTTATTATAAACCAAAAAACTGTGTCTGTTCATAAACAAGACTGTGCCTGCTATCCTCTTTGAGGTTCATGCTCATAAGTCAATTTTTTTCTTTTTTTTTTTTTTTAGTAAATGTTCAAATCACACACACAGTGACTCCATCTGTGGGTGTAACTCTAATTGCATTGAACTGTTGATTTGGAGATGCCCTTCCTGTTTCGTTGGTATTATGACATCATACATGTTTGAATGACACACTAGGAAGAGAGGTCATAGCCCTGAAATGCTCAGTCAGGTCTGCTATCCATATGCTGCTAATAGGCTGCTGTGTTATCCCAGGCTTCCTCAGAACTCCTTCCTACTCATGAGTCCTGCCCCACCTCTTCTTTACCTGGGCCCCGGGATCCCTGCACTTATTTCCTACCCAACTATGATCACAGAAAGAGAAAAGATGAAAGCCATGTGTCATCTTGTTATAAAACATGTGAATAGCTGTAAATCAGATATGAAATGGAAAAGAATAGATCTAATTGTTAGAATTAGATCTGCAAATAATCTGTATAGTTCGTGTTTCTCACTTGAGATTCTCTCCAAAACAAAGGTAGATTGGCATCATGTTGATGTCACACTACCTGAATTAAAATCAGGTTGATGTCATATTACCTGAATTAAAATCCCTGCTCTGCCACTTCCTAGCTACATGGTCTTGGGCAAGTTACTTAACCTCTCTGTAAAATTTAGACATTAATAGTGCCTGTCTTTTGAAGTTAAGACAAAGATTTAATGATGCATGAAAATGCGTAGCATAATACCCAGTGCATAATGAGAGCTTAATAGATTTTGGTAATTATTATGTACATTAATTTTAATTTTTCTTCTTGCCCTTTTAATTTTAAAATTTTTTACTTTTTAATTATTGCATTTTTTCACTTTTTCATTACTTCCTTTGAATACCAGCAAGTGGAGCACCCTGAAAAGCTGACAGGCATCAAGGATAACCTACATCCAGGGAAAAGCAGCTTCTAGGCAAAGAGGGAGATTTCTTCCCGAAAGCAGTAAATTTTTCTACCTACACTCTTCTCCCTACAGGTGCCATAAATCGGCCCATGAAAGGAGACAGGAGTTGCTAAACTGGTTGGTAGTTTATTTTGTTTTTATTTCTTAATATCTATTGCCACCTTCCGTGAGCAGTTAAAAGACCAGAGACTCAAATGACAGAGTGCACATTCTCTCTTTTGAAGCTGTCTGGCCACTTTTTCATCAGGACAGGGACCTCTTGTGTGGAGAAAATGGATTTATTTCCCCCAGAAATAAATGAGGCCAAGAAGATTGTTGGTGAGCGCTGCGGCAAGGATGGGGCTCAACTACAGTACAGCATTCTTAGCTTTAAGACATCCTCCTCCCTGGACGTAATAGAGTTGCTGGGATTATGAGCCAGGAGTAGGCTTGGGGATGTACGTGATTCTCAACAGCTGGAAGAGCCAGTAGCAAAAATGACCACGAAGGATTTTAGTTTGGTGAATTCAGGGGAATACTAAACTCCAAGTGGAAAAAGGCAGTTCCAGGTGGAAACCAAGTTTCAAAACAGACCATAGTAAAGCACACTGCCCAGTAGACTGTCTCCACCACCTTTCTTTTTTTCCAATCTCAGTTCAAACCAGCTCCTCCTCTTTCCAGCCCTCGGCTTTTTTTTTTTTTTCTTTTTAAAGAGCTCTTTATTGGTTTTAAACGGGGGGGGGGGGGGGGGCGGGGGAGGGGCGGTTTACCTACTTAGGTCGGATAAGCATATTGTGTGAACAACAAAAGAAGAGGTGATTGGCTAAGTGAGAGGCGCACCGCCCTGCCCATTCCCCTCCCACGCCCTCCCGGAGGAAACAGCTGGAATGAGAAGTAGGGAGCGGACGCTAGGATTGGCTGAGTCAGTAGCAGAGAAGGGGTGAGGCAGCACAGATGAAGCCTTTACCTGTCTAGGTAAGTCAGGAGGAGGTCAAAAGGAGAAGAAAACAGTAGGAGGCAGAAAACCTGCCCCTGTCTTCATCTCTGCCCTTTGAAAAAAAAAGGGTATTCCTTTCTTCTCTTCATCCCCAATCCTGTGGAGGTGAGTTCATTGCTAACCAACTATTGCTTATCCTGCCGCGAGAGGAAGGGCTTCAAGGGAAAGTAGAGCTACAACGTTTGAGGGATGGGAACGGTGGTGTGCCTCTAAACCACAGCTAGGGGGCTTTCCTCGCTGTTCCTCAGTTCTCCTCCTCTGTTCCTCAGTTCCTCAGTTCCTCAGTTCTCATTCTCGGATCAGAACAGGTTGGGAGCTTCTTGAAATCGGAGTATATTTGTGGGGACAAGGACTGGGAAGCATCTTCTTTGTCATTTACCTACTTAGGTTGGATAAGCATATTGTGTGAACAACAAGAGAAGAAAATAGGTTTGTTTTGGAAATTTCCATCTCTGAGCAACTGAGATTGAGTTGTGAGTTTTGGAAAAGAATAATTGAAATAGAGGGGAGTCACAATGGAGGAATGTGAGGTGAATTGAGTGTCTTGATTTTCCATTACATTTGTAAAAAGAACTTCTCCCTTGGCTTTATCAACTCAGTATCTACCTTTATTTAAATAAAGGGTGCAGTGTGTGTATGTTCAATTATGGTAGTTTGATCATGGAACTCTCTGTGGACAGGTTTGTAAGGTGCAAGCTGTACGGGGTTGTTTGTAAGATAATGTGAGGCTTGAACACGTTGGGAAAACTCCAACTCCAGCCACCAGCTCATCTTTGGGAAACCCATGGATAATCTAGCTGAAAAGTCGAGTTTATTTGGGTTCAACTCAACTAATTTTTTGACTTTTCCTGTTAATAATAGATACAAAGACTGATAAACAGAAAGCCACTTGACTGTGCCGGGCCTCACCCACAATAATATTTCACGGCAGCATGTCAAGTCTGCTTAGCGTTCCAAATGGGGCTCAGGCCAAAGTAGTGTGGCAGAGTCCACAGGGAGGAGGACTAGACCAGGGTCTGGTTTTGCTTTGTTTTCCTTCAGGTGTCCAGTTGGCAGTTTGTGTAGCAGGTTTACCTGCATAAGGAAGGTGAACGTAGAAGTCAAGGAAGAGTAGCAAGTCATCTCTCCATTATCCATCTTGGGGGGGTTTTACACTCTGGTTCCTAACTTTGGCTCTTTCCCTCCTGTTGCAGGGAAGAGGAAAGTGGGAAGACCTCAGAGCTAGGCTCCAAGGCCTGGCACACACAGCTGAGTGTATATATGAGTTTTCCAGTCCCAGTAACTTGAGCTTTAGGCTCAGGCTTACCCCACACTGCAGAACCACCACACTCAATGACTGAGGGTTGCCCTAGATGGTGAATTTAGGAATAAAGACCACCTACTGTGCCTAACAAAGTTGTTCTGTGCAAAGGATATTTCCATCCTGCCCTCAAATCCACTGGTGAAAGAGATTATGACATTCCATAAACACACACATGTGCTCATGGAAAGGTATATGCACACAGTGCAAATTTGAGTCTTCCTGGCATTTTTCTTGGGATGTTCTCTAACCCAAAGCACATTTCTGGGTAGTCAGCAAAAAGCAGAGACCTGGTCTGGGAAAACTAGGAAACCTCTCTGACTACGGGCAGAGAGGCAGAGCTCTTGGGGGCTATGGGGGTGAGTCCATGGAAGAGGGTGATAAGAGGAGCCTGGGTCTGAATAGATGGTATGGAGAAGTCAACCTGGAATGGGGCTGGAGCCCCCACCCCACACTCTGCAGATGCCAGACTTTACATTCTATTTACTTCCTCTCTTCTAACCCTTGACTGATTTCAGTGTAGTAGTAGTTAATATTTAATGTCTCTTTGGAGGGGTGGCCCTGACTATAGGCTATGCATATTTCTTAACCCATTCCTTTCTCCTAAGTCCCCAAAAGAGGTCAAGGGTTAAAGATATCAAACTCTCACCTTGAGTGTTTTGCTTGCTTCTCAGGCTTCTTATCAGGCAGAAATACCTCAGGTTTCGATGGCTGCCGTGAAACAGCCCCTAAGTTTCAAGGTTGTAAAGTTGGTGAAAGGAACTGCACCTTTTTTACAGTTCAGACTCTTTGGGTCAGAACACTAGGTATGGAGATAAAGTGCCAGTACCTGTGGGTTCACTCAGCTTTGGTTCAAGGTTGGGACTCTTCTCTGCAGTGCTACGTAGTGCCTGATGACATGGTCTTCCATGGCAATTGGTGTCATTTCTTTACTCTGAAAATACCTATGGTTGGGGCCTAAAACTGGTCTGGAAATATAAAACTGAACCAGATAATTTATGGGGTTTTAGGTATGAAGTAGTAGGAGAAGAGCAATCTTAGAGCTTTTAGTATTTTAGACAGGGTGGCTCCTGCTATTCTTAGGTAGTGAATGGTCCTCTTGAATCTAGACAGTCCCTGAGTTCCTTTCTGGAGGGCTGCCCTGTATCTGCAGGTATAAGTCATTCCCTACTTCCCTTGGGAAGGAGTGGTAGTGGGAAGAACCACAGCTTCCTCATCTGTAAATGAAGAAAATGGCATCCTTGCCTGTGCTACCCCAGTTATTGCGAAGATCTAGTAAACAGATCTGAGAGCACTGTGGAAGCTATGGCAGGCTCTGTTCTTGTGAAGTAGTGCTATTCCTGTTGTTTTTATCTCTAGTGGCTTCAGGCCATCCTAGGTTCCGATAGGAGAGTGTGATGGGCTTCCCTGGGATGAAGGAGAAGCTAACAAATCACTGTAAAGTCAAAGCATACTTAGAAGAACAAGTATAGTAATTTTCCCTGAAAGTAAGAGGCAGTATCTGCTCACCCATTCATAAAGAATGTTATGTTAATTATAGTGAGTCACTTTAAATATTTACTGCCCTGATTTTAAAGATAAGAAAACTGGAGCCAAAAACTAGACCCTTGGATCTACACTAAATTCTGAACAATGATGCCTTTGTCTTATCCAGTTTTGTACCCCCAGTGCCTATTAGGTGATCATGATTGTTAGTTTAACTAAAAACACCACTGACTTTCACTGAGCCATAAAATAAATAAAATATTTAAGACAAAGATTAACAGTAATAGATTAGAAGCCAAGAGGAAGGTCAACTCAATAGACACTAGCACAGATGACAAGTTGACTCATCCTGCATCTTTTGAGGGCCTTCTGTATGCCTTCACCTATGAGGGATGGATCCCTTTCACTATATTGGCTCAGCCCCAGAGAATGCTAGGCATGGGTTAGCACTCTCTGAACCTGGGGGTTGAGGGGAGGGCAGATAGCTGATGTGATTGAACTTCATCCACATGGTTTCTGGTTTGCCTGGTTTCTGGCCATTGGGGAACTAATCTAATGAAGAAACTCTGAGAGCTACCTCACCCAATGCTGATTTATCACTGGGCTTCTTTGGTGTCTCTGCCCCTGTCCCTTGGTCACACTTTATCTCTCGAGAGACTCTAGACCCTTATGAACCATTTATCCGGCCCATTTGAAATCTTCCCTTTTATTTCCCTAATGTTATGCCCCTTCCTACCTGCCCCACTTGAAGGACTTTGCCCAAACAGAAGAGGTACTCCATGGGGCCTCATACTTGCCAGCTCTATAGGGTTGGAAGGCTGACTCACCCAACCCAGCCCAAACTTTGGCAATGAGAGCAATTATTAGCAGAAGCCAGAGGAACATCTACCCTGGCATCCAAACTACAGGTCCCCAGATAACAAATATAATACATTTTTCCAGGTCATTTACCTAGTATTGGGAGGGTAGGACAGACGTCTGGTAGAGAATATAGCCTGATGCTATGGGGAAAATATGATTTCAGAATCAAGTAAACCTTATTCTAATTCTAGCTCTCCCCCAACTCTCTATATGACTTTGAAACTGTCTTTTAATCTTAATTCTTTTAGAATTTCATTTTAATGTAGGAAATTCACCCCTGGCCTACCCAACTCTGGGAGATTACGTCCCACAAGCAGGCATATGAAAAGTCTTGGGACTTTCACAGGGAAGATGACACTGCCTTCCTTTGCTACTACTATTGTCACAATGAACTTGAGATTTTTTCCCCATTAAGGAATTGGAGTTGGAAGGAAGCTACATAGGACATTTCCCTTGTTTGTTCTACACAGGCTAGGGAACCTCACTGGAAATATGTGCAACAATAGGGGAGGCAATGCACTGGAGAGAAAATAGGTTTGTGTTAACCACTGCAGGTGCCCCGTTCATGCCTCCCAGGCTAAGAGATACTGATGGCCACAGTGCTGGTGTTGATGGTGTTGATGTTGACTGTGATAGCAGCTGGCAACTACTGGGTCATGCACTGTGCAAAGTGTTTTTCATGGAGTATTCTATTATATTCTCATGACTACCCTGTATCTCACAAGTACTAGATAGGTACTAGATAGGTACTATCAAGGGCATTTCTTCTTTTGAGCCTGTAGTTTCCCATTAAATCAGAACAGTCTTTTCTGAACTCTTGTTTCTCTTCAATTTTGTTTGATCCTAGATGGATCTTGTATTTTTCTTATTACAAGAGCAATACTAATTATTCATTTACTCATTAAGTGTTTGAGTATTTACTGACAATTAAACTGTGCTAAATATTCTCTCATTGAATCCTTCTAACCCTATTTAGTGAGGAAAAGCAAACTCAAAGAGTAATTTGACTCTAGTCAGAGAACTGTAGATGGCTAAATTGGGATTTGAGCCCAGACCCAGCTATCTTCAGAACCCAAGTTATTAGCCCCTGTAATATTTATTGTTTATAGTAATGAAAATGTAGGTTTGCTCTGGTTCAGAGAAAAATGTAAGAGAAGTAATAGAAGCTTCTTTCTGACCAGACTGCCTCCTCACCACCTAAGTTCATCCTTCTGCATGTATTTGAGCCAGATCATGGGTCCCTTTGTGCAGGCTGTGAAGTTTCAGGCAATGGCTGTTTGTGGCTCCCTTTTCTGCTTGCTTGGTGTCCTTGCCGCCATGCTGCCCAGGGCCTGGGCAGGGCCTTGCAGAAGCCTGGGCTTACACATGGCTTTGATTCTTCTCTTTTCAGGCCCAGCTTGGGACATTCTTCGCTTCCCTTCGCTTCCCCTCTGGGAGCCCCTTTTGCCACCCCTGAACCTTGCTTCAGGCGATGCCTGAGAGGGAGCTGTGGCCAGCGGGGCCTGGCTCAGAACCCGTGACCCGCATCAGCAGCTGCGACAGCATGATGAGCACCACCTCCACCCGTTCTGGATCTGTACGTAACACTCTCCCTCCTGCAACCTGGCCCGCTGTCTGCATACCTGCCCTGCCCTGCCCTGCCGCCTGTCTTCGCTCACTGCAACTTCTCTTTCATCTTCCTCATCAGAGAGTGAATCACAACATCAATGGGTGCTTTCTGCCTCTGAGTCAGTCCCAGTTCTGTAGAGTATAGGGTGGGACAACCTTAGAGAGCAGCAGGACAGATGAGACTTTCCCCCAATGTTCATTAGGTTGGGAGGTTGAGTTGAGGAGAGCAGGCCTATAGTCTGAGGTCACGGTGGGAACTAGCACTTGGACTCTTGCAGCATATGGAGTCATGATGTTCTCTGCAATGTGCAGCACTTATTAAGTCTCTTACAAAGATCAAAGAAAATAGAGTAATTAAGAGCCTAGGTTCTGAAGCTGAACAGATCTGAGTTTTCTACTTAAAAGCTATATGACCCTGCAATGCAAATTACTTCATTTCTCTAAGCTTTAGTCTCCTCAGTTTTCAAACAAGGATAATATTCATACCTAATTCCTAGGGCTCTTGTGAGGAGTAAATCAGGTAAGGTAAACCACCTAGCATACCTCTATGGAGAAAAGAAACAGCTTATGTAGGAGACCAAGAATCTTTCAAGGTCACTGTGTTTAGTTCTTTGTGAGTGTATCAATTGTAATCAATTGTCATTTTTCTGGGTATGAATTTAAATCTCAGTTATTGTAAAACTGGTGTGAAAGAGTAAATCTGCCTGACAACCAAATGCAAACATTCCTTTGTTATTCATGCTTGTAACATGCATAATAACCCTGGAGAATTTATACTTTATATCCTACAGAGGCATTTAAAAATGTAAGGATTATAAGGGTTTCTACTGAATGTCAAAGATATTTTATATAGTCAATGGGTTTTGATATGTAAAAATGGAATAGAAAAAGCAACACACATAAATTCAAAGCACAGATAATCCATACATAAGTTTCTTTTTGACCCTAGGTGGTGAGGCCACAGAGACATCTTTTTTTCTGTTTCTGTTAGGCTAAGGCCAGTATGAATAGTCACATACCACTGGACACAGAATAGGACAGGAATTAAAGGTTTTCAAAGTGAATCATTTATAAAGGAGAAATTCAGAGTTGGCTTATCCTTGGCAAGGCTATTGTAGGAGGAAAAAGGCAATAAAGAGATTTTTCCTCAGGTAACTCTTGGAGTAGGCTTCAGGTTTTCCAAGGGCTATATTTGGGGCTTTCCTTGACATGTAGGCCTCACATAGTCAAGACAGGTGGCTGTTTTAAGGGGTAGAGGCAACTGGAAGAGTTATTCAACAATCTTCATCCCTCCCCACAGGATATTTTTAGAGCTATCTCACAATTTTTCCTGGCCAACTGAGTGAGTCTGAAGAATATGCAACTCTGAAGTGTCCCAGATATTAGGAAGAGAGGTGGAGATACCGAGAAGAGACTTGGGCCAAATTTCTTATATTCCCATTTGCTCATTTGGCTTTCCCTTCAACCTCCTCCTTGGAAGAGCAATTATTTTGACTTTCCTGGCCTGATGTATCATAGACAGTAACAATTTGAGATGACTGTAGCTTTTTCTTCCAGATATTCCTATGTTCTCTCTCATAATGATGATGATCTAGTTTCATATCTACTTGACATTTAATACTAAGCTGCTTTTCCCTCCCCCATACCATCCAATTTCTTCACCAGCCTCTTTCCTTAAGTTAATATTTGCTTAAGAAACACACTGATTTGAATGTTAGCCAGAGCCAAATGTCATCAAGAAAGTAAATACACAAGGGGAAAAATCCTGTGTGGAATGCATTTCAAAGTCAAGTATAAATCATTTAGTACATTTATCTGTGACTAGTCATGCCTCTGTTCCCATTGGCCTGGCAGCTAGTAGTTGGCTGCGTTTCCTGTTTGTCCTCATACTGTCCTTGACATACCAGATCAAGTATGCAGAAATACTTTGAAAAATTAAAAGCAATACCATTCAAGTGTCAGGTCAGATTATTATGTTGCCCGCATAATTTGGAGCTAAATTGGAGACACACAATGTAAAATATTTGACAAAGGTCACACAGAGGAATTGGAACCCAAGACCACTTCTGATCTGTGCTCCTAAGCATTCCACCCAGGACTGAGCAAAAGAAAGGCCCCTGCCGTCTGCCTGCCTAGCTCCAGAGCTGGGCACTAGTAGGCCAGCCTGACAGTCTCTGCCCTCTCTGGTGCCTGCAGTTTCAGAAAGCAATTCCAGCTGGTTTACAGGGTAGCAACAGGGAAAGATTTCCAGCTCTTCAGCATTCCTTCCTTATGGCAGGGTGGTTCTCAGGCCCCGCCAGTTTCTGCGGAGGGAGCTTCCTTTCACAGCTCCTTTTCCCTCTTCTTGCTCCTCTTCTAGAGTGACGGCAGCTACGACTTCCTGTCTGCTGAGGAGAAGGAGTGTCTGCTCTTCCTGGAGGAGACCATCGGCTCACTGGACACCGAGGCTGACAGTGGATTGTCCACTGACGAATCTGAGCCAGCCACAACTCCCTGTGGTTTCCGATCACTGCCCATAACTCAACCTGTTCCTCGGGGTAAGACAGGATATCTGGGGTAGGACTGCTAGCAAAACCCAGAAAATCAGTGCACCCTTCTGGCCACTTTCAACCTTGCCTGTGCTCTGCTCCAAGGGTCACAGGCAGAAGATGGAACAACCCCACTCTTTACCACTCTGCTGGCTAGAATAAAGCTTTTTCCTAGGAGGGAAGGAGGGACTGCTGACAAGCCAGCTTCCTGTGTCTTTCTATGAACTATCAGAGACCTGGAAGGGAAGGGGATTTGACCAACTTCCATCTTCCTCCTCTGAAAAAATTCTAAAGCAATATGACCTCAGAGGTGGGGAAGAGAGCCAGGGAGGGCAGGGTGGTTGGTTCTGGAGGGACTGAGTCAGTCTGGGAAGCTAATCTGGGTGCCACAGGGGACAAGGCTGCAGGAGATAAGGAGAGGGATGGGCTTCCCAGCTGCAGTAGGCAGCACTTCAAGGCCCTTGTTAGAGAGTGGAGAGCCGGTGGTGTTCTGACTCAGTAGAAAGGGAACAGGATGACACAAGTGTGGCCCTGAGTGTGGAGCTGTGTGTCCAAGGGTGTCAGGAGCATCTTATTTCTGAAGATAGTCCCACTGGTATCAGGGCTGCAATCTAGTCATTCATTTAGTAAATATTTGTTAACAATGTTTTAGACTCTCCCTGGAGATACAGCAGAAAATGGGGACATAGGGCTTTACTGCTCCTGAGGCTGACCCACTGGTTCAGTGGGCCTGACACACCTGCCTAGTTTGCTGGCAGGAAAGAAGCCATGTCACTCTCTGGTGCAGGGACATTATGGCTATTATAGAATTGTCCAGTGCACATAGAAAGTGAAAGCAGAAGGCAAAAGCCTGGTCAAATCAAGAGCAAATCACTTGTTCATGTGCTTCCATTTAGCTCTATTATCTGAAAGCTCCAAGACTGCTAGAGGGAATGGGCCCGAATCTATCCCCAACCCTGGTGCCTCTGTAGAAGTGTAAGAAGAGCCTGAGTCAGGGACATGGAACAATCAGGGGCTGCCCTCTCACCAACCATCTTGAAAAATTAATCCTCTGTCAGAAAGAATCTGTTATGATTGCTCTATTGTTCTTAGTGATATCCAGACAAGAGTGTTGCCCCTATAAATGCAAAGCAAAACAAAACAAAGCAAAAATCCATTCACTGCTAGTTGGTGATCAGAGTTCAGGAAGCATTTGCTTTTCCCTCTGCAGCAGAACCCTCACTTCTGTTCACTCTTTTTGGTTCTTCCGGGTCCTCACAGGAAATCCAGAGGAGACCATCATTCAGCAAGGACCAGAGCCAAGAACAGTAACTCAGACCAGCTCATCCTTTCCTCCTGAGCTCCAAGGCCTGGGCCTCAGGTCAGGCTCCTACAGCCTCCCCAGAAACATCCACATTGGCAGAAACCAGAACCTCAGGAAAAGCACCACCCAGGCCAACAGCCACATCCCTGGAGAATCTGAGAGGCTTACACCAGAGCCTGAGAAAGAGCAGGTCAGTCGGAACAGCCAGCCCAGCCAGGCACCAGCTGACCTCCGGAAAGCTGCCCTTGATTTGGACGTGGTACTCATCCCCCCACCAGAGGCTTTTCGGGACACTCAGCCACAGCAGTGCAGGAAAGACGGCCTGCCTGAGGGGCCAGGACTGCAGAGCCCCCAGCTTCACACGCCTTCCATCCCCCAGAAGACAGAGCAGACTTCTTCAAAGACCATGTCTCAAAAAGCCAAGGAAAAATGCTCAACAGGGGACCCCAGACAACCAGGGCCTCCTCCTGCTGTGCCATCTCAGAATGTAAAAGCTGAAGATGCACCCCTCCCATCAGGGGAAGATCGAAATGCTGGACTGGCTCCCCTCACGGCCCCTAAGCTCCGGAAGCTGCCACCTAATATTGTTCTGAAGAGCAGCCGAAGTAGTTTCCACGGTGATCCCCAGAAATGGCTGCCCCGCCATACTGAGGCTGTCCCTGGAGAGTCTGGCCTGGTCTCCTCTTTACTGCAAGAGCAAAGGAAAGCACGCAGAGAGGCACTGGAGAAGCTGGGGCTACCCCAGGACCAAGATGAGTCCGGCCTCCACTTAAGTAAGCCTAGCAGCTCCTTCAGACTCAAGGAGACTCATGCTCAGGGCCTTTCCCTAACTCCAGCTGCAGCTCCATCTCAGGTCTCAGCAGTGGCCCCTGCTGCAGGGAAGTCTCCGGCTCCAGCCCCGGTTCGGGGACCTTCACCAGTGAAGGCTCCAGCTCCAGCTCAGGGGTCTTCTCCAGGCAAGGTTTTGGCTCCTGCCCAGGAACCCCCTCCAGGGAATGTCACAGCTGCCCAATCCATGCCCATTCCTATCCCTAAGGCTCAAAGGGTAAATAACCCTCTGACTCAGCCAAAGCCAGACTCAGGGCTGACTCTCCAGGAGAGCAGCATCCCTGGCCTGAGACAGATGAACTTCAAGTCCAACACTCTGGAGCGCTCAGGCGTGGGGCTGAGCAGCTACCTCTCAGCTGAGAAGGATGCCAGCTCCAAAACCAGCACTTCTCTGGGAAAGGGTTCCTTCTTGGACAAGATCTCGCCTAGTGTCCTGCGTAATTCCCGGCCCCGCCCTGCCTCCTTGGGCACGGGGAAAGACTTTGCAGGTATCCAGGTAGGCAAGTTGGCTGACCTGGAGCAGGCGCAGAGCTCCAAGCGCCTGTCCTATCAGGGACAGAGCCGAGACAAGCTTCCTCGACCCCCATGTGTCAGCGTCAAGATCTCCCCAAAGGGCGTCCCTGATGAACATAGAAGGGAGGCCCTGAAGAAGCTGGGACTGTTGAAGGAGTAGACTCACCACCAGCACTGCCTGCTCTGACCCCACCCCCACCGCACGAGAAGAGACGTAGTCTCGGCTTAGGAGCCTTTGCCACCTCACAACCCGGGACTTGGGCAGGGGTGGGCTTGTCTCTGTTGTCTCTGCTCTCTGAGGTGAAGGGGAGGGAGAGATTTGAGTCCAAGCATACCTTTAGTTGTGCCATCGAGTGCCTGCATGGATCATCCTGAAGGTGATTCCACAAGTTGTGTGTGTGTGTCTTAGGCTGTATATATCCCTGAAGCTATTTATGTAACACAAAGTTGCTCACAGTTCTGCTCTTTTTAGAGATTTTCTTACATGGGGTAGCATTCAGCCTAGCCAGAAGTAAGTGGAAAGAGGTAGTCAAGCACAAGAAGAAAAGTCAAGATCTATTCACATCTTGTGGATGTACCTGTGACTTGGAAAAAAAGTGACATCTGGCAAATGCAGGGTCACATGAAATGTGGGCCTCCCAGAATCCCTACAGTGGATGGAGACTGACTCATACCTGCCAGATCCATCTCTCAGTTCTGATCTTCTGGACAAGGCTTTGGGCCAAGAGGCGCTGGCTTGATACCTCTACACCCACTTCCTTCTCAGTATCACCAGTCTCAAGGACAGGACACATCCTTGTAGCTAAACCTTTTGGCTGACTGATAGGAAAACAACTCTTGTTGGTCTGAGAAGGCAAAATAAGTGACCACACACTCCCACTTCCCCTCCACTGGAGAGAGTTCTTGTCCACTGACTTGATAAATTCAATAATAAACTGTGCTGTGGTCCCCGACTATGGTACTCCTACTCCTCCTGCTCTCTTGCCCCGGACTCAGTCTGTGGGTGACTGATCCCAGAGCGGGGCAATGTTGAATTGAGAGCCTCTCCCTGGAACCTTTACAAATGCCAAAGAACTGTTTCAGATCTTGTCCATGCTGTTGCAGGTGGTTTTTTAAATTTCCTGACTTCCAGTAGTGGAAAACCAACATGGGGCATTCTCTGCCGACTCTTCATAGGATATCAGAACTGGGAGGGACCTCAGAGAAGCTCCAACCTAGCCCTGTTGGAGAAGGGAAGTGACTCACCCAGGGTCACTCTACCATTTAGGAACAGAGCTGAGACTAGAGCCTGGGTGCCCGTTCCCACTGCGTGCTGCATCTGCTGCCTCCCCTTTCTTACCCGGTGCTCTTGTGCATCCACACAGCACCCTAAGGATCTATAGTCGCTGTCAGAGATAGTCCTAAGGCCCTTCAAGATCCTAAAGTATCTTCTGAAGCATCAGAGATTAAATGTTGTTCAGTATAATATTTATTGGTGTGGTTTTATAATTTTATCTTTAGAAAGTATCTATATAGTAATATGTTATTAACCAGAACATCTCTCCCCCCAGATTCTCTGACCAAGTTGTGCAACTCAAGTGAATGCCACAGAGGGTAGTCTAGGTAGGTGGTGTGGGTGCAAATACAACCTTGGAGGTTAGACATAGCTAGACATGACCCCTGCTTTTCCCGTTCAGAACTTTATTCATGGCTGTGACCTGGTTGGAGTCCAGGATGCCCAGATGTGAGGGGCAGATAAAGGGACTGCTTTTGGAAAGGTGCCCTTTAGGCCTGCTGAGCATTTCTGGGCTGTGTCCTTACAACACAGCACTACCAAAGCCCAGAATTTCTGAAAATGATGAGAAGGTTAAGGTGAGGACAGCAGATGACTCCACCTTGTCGTGGTATGTGGGTTGGTGGGTGTGGCAGTTTCTATGTATGTTTGCCCACACACACATACACACCCAAAAGTCTGAGCCTCATTTCCGGCCCTGGTTGAGGACCCGGTCTGTCGTGGCTGATGGCGTCCCCCACAGCTGGCCTTGCCATCTCTTTCTACAGACTCTCAGAAAGAGAGAAGGCAACCTTCTGGAGACTGATTCCTCATGCTGTATTTGGCTGAGCTGCTTCCTATGTATATTTCATGACATAACCTGTGGAATGATTGATTGCCTTACTCCTTATTCATGAATTGCTCTGATTCATAGAGACACCAAAGTAAAATTTGGTAGGAATATGGGGCCCTGGCACCAACACAAGGCTGACCAATACAGGTTGGTCAAGAATACCACCTGCTGTAGCCCCACACTCTCTCCAAAAAGGTCATTTCTCTCCAGACAAAACAAAGTTACCTTCAGCCTGCACCTGTCTAGTGACATGCCTCTTTCCCTAATTTTCACATGACTCTGCAACCTCATCTCGTGACATGCCTATTTCCCTAATTTTCCTAATCTGAGAGACTCCCTACCCTTGTTACTTAAAGATACATTGCTTCTCCACATCCTCGTCTTTCAAAGAGCGTTTCCTGCTCCAAGGATTGTCTTTGGAATTTAAGAAGAATAAATCCAAATTCAGTCACTCTCCTTCTGAAGAGGGGCAAAATGACCCAGTGAGGACAACCGCCTCCCTAAAATTGGTGCTAGACCCGTTGAGGTAATTGCATTATGCTCTTGTATAAATCCACTTAGGAGTACTCTTCATTCAGCTTGAATTGATTGGGTGGAAGGTAAGAACAGGGTCAGAGGTGTTCTTAGCCCCTTTCAAAAAATTTTGGGTAGAAGCTTGTAAAGGCCGTTTGTTTGATTTTGGAAAACAAAGACATAGCTCTACTTCCACTTGGCCCTGGGTCTTTCCTATACCCTTCCATAGCCTTGCTGCCGCTGGGTACAAACCCCCTGTCAAATACAGGAGCTGGCCTCTCACAGCCTAGCATGGAGTCTGTGCCCTCAGATGTGTTGAAAGCTGCTCCTGTGAATCACCATGCTCGTGCTCCCCTGGGAATCCTGCACGCTGACTCCATGGGGCAGGACTATGTGCTGTCTCACACAGAGATCGGGGCCGGGTACACTCACTTCTTATGCACCTCCCTCCACAGTGCGAAGTGTGGTCTGGCAGAAGCCACCCTGTAGGCTGGGGATGGTCAGGTGTGGAAACACTGGTGTTTGTTTCATGGAGGAGGAGCAGGTGAAAGACGTTCTGGGTTCAAGTTCGAGCTGGAGGTGTAGATTGAAGAACCTACAGGGTGTGTGAGTGTGTGAGACAAACTCCTCCATCCTTTGATCCCTGGTGGTACGTGTAGGCCAAGAACATGTCAGAACATGAAGCTGAGATCTCATAGACAGAGCATGGACCAAGGGCATGGATAGGAGGAATTGTGTCCATCTCCGTCAGAATCTAAAGAGGGGCCAGATGTGGTGACTCATGTCTGTAATTCCAGCACTTTAGAGGCCGAGGTGGGTGGATTACTTGAGCGCAGGAGTTTGAGACCAGCCTGGGCAGCACAGTGAGACCTCATCTCTACAAAAAAAAAATTAGCTGGTGTGGTGGTAAGCACTTGTAGTCCCAGCTACCTAGGAGGCTGAGGCTGTGGTGAGCCATGATCATGCCACGCACTCCAGCCTGGGCAACAGAATGAGACCTTAACTATAAATGAATAAAAGAATCTAAGAAATGCACTTCCATGTACTTTTCTTCATGGGAGTGATGATGGGGCATATACATCCTGTGCAACTTCAACCTCCATCACAGTAAGGAACTCTGGAGACATCATTTTAACTTTCTGAAACTTAGAGTCTTCATCCATAAAACGGGGGAAATAATACCATCCTTTCAAGACTGTTGGGAGAATAAGTGATATGAAATACGTAAAGCTCAGTTCCTGGCACAGCGTAGCTTCTCAATAAATGATAATATTATCTTCTGAGTCTTATTTCTTCCTTCTCAAAGGGGGAACTCAGCTCTGAGAGAAAATAGAGGAGAGCCTGCTGCACATGAAAGTCCAAAGTAGCAAGCAGGCTTCGGCACACCCTGCCGGTGACTCAACTCACCCCCGCTGTCGCACTTCCTGGGATTTGAAAAGAAAGTGATCAGCGTGAATACGATGTTTGTGTTTTGGTGAAACCTGAACCAGCTGTTTCCAGCTTCTGTATTCCCAAAGCCAGCGTGCCCTTTATCGTCAGTCGGTCTCTTGTGCCCGTGACCGTACAGTTGGCTTCTTTTTGATTTTGGCCTCTAACTTGATTTTGCTGTAGTGGCTCAGAGAACTACATGCTGTTCTAAGTTACTTATTTTTTAAATGAAGGGAGGAAAAATGTAACCGGGAAGAACAATGACTAAAATCAGAAGGAGATAGAAGCTAGAAGATGTTTTAAGATTTCTGGAGCATTTTTTAAAAACAGGGTAGACCATCCTTCTGGAATGAATCAGGCAGTAGTTATCAGGAAGATAGCCTCTTCAAATCTCATCTAATATAAGGGCCCCATGAATTGCAAGAGTCATCACCACTATCATAGTCATCATTGACTCTTAGCACACACGTGAGGTAAAAATGGGTGACACTCTAATTCCAGGCTGTCATTCTCTCTTGCTCATTACCTAGCTAGGTCATCATCTTTATTCACCACCTGCCATGTGTCTAGAGTTCAAAATAATATGAAACAGGCATAACTCTGGACAAGGTAAGGTTTGGTGCGTTACTTCATCTCACTCATAAAATGGGCTGCCATGTCTCCTAGATCCAAGGCAGCCCTGAAATGTATGCTTCAGCAAGTCCAAACAAGCTAATTAGAAAGATCAATACTCTGCCAAAAATAATCACAATAAAGTATAAGGTAAACTACACCTCATGGAACCTAAGAGCTGGGAGAAATCTTTGAAGGTTCTCCAATCCAACCTCCCACCTAGAGAAGAATTGTGTCTATAGTTTTATACACACACACACACACACACACACACACACACACACACACACACACACACAGGATGCCAAAAATGTATACATTTTAAGAAAGGAAAAAACTGTATTAAAATTGTAATACTTGCCGGGCATCATGGCTCATGCCTGTAATCCCAGCACTTTGGGAGATGGGGGTGAGAGGCTTGCCTGAGCCAACAGGCTCAAGACCAGCCTGGGTAACGAGGCAAAACCTCTACAATAAATCAAAAAATTAGCTGGGTTTGGTGGCGCATGCCTATAATTCCAGCTACTTGGAAGGCTGAAGCGAAAGGATTGCCTGAGCCCAGCAGGAGGAGGCTGCGGTGGCAGTGAGCAT